CAGCTTCTTCAATAAATGATGTTGGGAAAATGGATAGCTATATGCAAAAAAATTAAACTAAACCATCAGCTTACACCATACACAAGAATAAACTCAAAATAAATAAGGACTTAAATGTGTCGTGAATCCATAAAAATCCTATAAGAAACTTAGGCAACAAAATTTCGGACTTCATACACAGCAGAATTTTCACTGATACATCACCTAAGGCAAGAGAAACAGGAAAAAATGAACACATGGGACTACATCAAACTAAAAAGATTCTGCACAGCATAGGAAACAATCATCAAAATGGAGCTAAATAGGACATACAAATGTCTCCAAACAGGACATACACATGGCCAAGAGACATATGAAGAAATGCTCAACATTACTAATTATCAGAGAGATGCAAATTAAACAACAGTGAGTTATCACCTTACACCTGTCAGAATGGCTGCCATCAACAAATCCTCGAACTACAAGTGTTGGTGAGGGTGTGGAGAAAAGGGGACTCTAGTACACTACTGGTGGGAATGCAGACTGGTGTAGCCAGTATGGAAAACACTATGGTGTTACCTCAAAAAATTAAAAATTGAATTGTCATTTGACTCAGTGATCCCACTTCTAGGAATATACCCTATGAAGTCTGAAATACCAATCAGAAAGAATATATGTACCCCCATGTTTATAGCAGCACTATTTACAGTAGCTAAGATCTGGAAACAGCCCAAGTGTTCATCAGTAGAGGAATGGGTAACAACGCTGTGGTACATGTACACAACTGAGTACTATGCAGCTGTAAGAAAGAAAGATCTCTTATCCTTTGAGATGACATGGAGGGACCTAGAAAGTATTATTCTAAGCGAAACAAGCCAAGCAGAGAAAGTCAAATATGACATGATCTCACTTATTTGTGTGATATAATGAACATAACAGTCTGAGGAACTGGGTAGATCCAGAGATGTGGAAGTAGGGTACAAACTGACAATCCTTAGAAGAGTGGGTGAGGGGGGAAGAGAGAAACCACAGAACTTTTATGCATGTACACATAACTGATGAACATGGACAACAAAGCTGGGGATTGGTTGGGGGGATAGGGAGGAGGGTGTCAATGGGGAATAAAGGAGAAACATCTGTAACAAAAATAAATTAAAAAGAAAAAGAAAGCAGTAAGTATTGCTTTTCAGTATTTACTCTAAATATATCTCTTAAAACCCTCTATGTTCTCTAAAACCAGTTCTCCATAAAAATAAAAAATGGCAAACTGGCTAGAATGTCCTTGGGAGTTTGAATTCCCAGTCTCCAGACTTCCGTTTTCTGCGATGGAGAGAGCAGGATGTGGAGGTGTGACGTATGTCTGCCCACCACTGAGGCCGAAGGGCAGCCACTGTAGGCTGCTCTTGACTTGAGAACTCAGCTCTGCTCTTTCTCTTCTATCCTCTTCCTCTTATTTCCTTTCCCTCTCGTTCTGAAGCTAAAACCATTCCTATCTTCTTTTGAATCGTTTGCCCTTTTTTCATTTGCAGTGTCCTAATTTATATTTATTTACACTTGATCTTTAAATTATATGTGGAGAATGAATGAATGAACATAGCCATGTTGGGCTAGTTCACAGACATTTTCTTGAATATTTTACCACACTCTTGTCCTCATTACAAAAATGAGGAAGCTGAGGCTGAGAGGTGTTTCAGTGGTTCTTACCCTTGGATTCGCGTTAGAACCATTTGGGCAGTTTAAACTGAAGCTGTTTGTGCCCCACATTCAGAGGTGCCCGTTGATTTGGTGTCACGTGGAGACTACACACTGATTATGTTTTTACTGATCTTTATGTGATGTCCAAGTAGTAAAAGCCACTGGGTAAAGTAAATTGCCCAAAACCACAGGGAGTAAATTTGAGCATTTTGAGGGCAGAGAATGAGTCTAATTCATTTTGAAGCACCGAAGGAATCTGAGTGCACCGGCCAGATTTCTGATTTACACTCGCCTGGATCTAGAGCTGATGATATTTTTTACAATCACAAGGGGAGCAACAGGTCTGTACAGTAAGAGAAAGTGACGGGTACTGTGAAAGACGCACGTAAATGTGTCACGAAACAATAAAAACTATGGTAATCAGAGTTACCATAATGGTCCCAATTCAGATTATTCTGTATTAACAAACCCAGCAAAATAAGCAAGCATGTGTGTGCTCTGTAATTTATTAGCTTAAAGACTTTGTTTTAAATTCTCACATATTCCACAGTAATTAATCCATTTCAAAAACTAGTAGTACTACTACTACTATAGTCATGGCTTTGTACATTTGAAATGTTCATTTAAAAAACCACAGTTCAAATGGGTTTGAACACTTTGTGATTAATTAACATCATAGAGCAAATGCCCAAACATGCTTTTTGTATTTTTAAACACACAGGAATTTAAGATGAAAAATGGTACCAGAAAATAAAAAACTAGACATCATTGCATATTTTATAATGTAACAGAGGGCTCTAATAAGGCATACATATTTGAATTGTGTGCTGTTAAAACCTTGTATTTATTTTAACTTCCTGATAGTTTCGTATTCAGAGTGAAATCTGCCAATAAAAACACATTGAAAATATTAACCATGCAGTATTTGATAAGAGTGCCCCTAGAGAAAAAGGCAAAGGAAAATAAATCCTCCAATTATTAGGTTGTTTAAACAGTGTTGGAGTGCCCCTTGCTGGCTAGTTTGTGTATTACTCAACTCTGTCTACATTCCTTAACTTTTTTGGTAAATTTAGTTGACTTCTTTCCTTTGGGGGTGTGGATTATTTCTAGATTCTATATTTTTAATATATATTCCTTCTGGTTGCTGTGTTTAAATGGGAAATGTTTTTTGTTGGGCTCATTATGGTGTACTGGCAAGTTTAATACATTTACCGTTTCTTCTATGCTTCTTATTGCGTTGGACTGTCCTTCATTTCCCTTTGCTCTGTCAACATCTTGTCTGTTCCTGCTGGGTTACTCTGCCTTCTTCCTTTTCCAGTCTTACCTTTGTTTTTGAAATACTTGGTCTCCCTTGCAGTGGGGCTTGGTTTTCCTGGGCCTTGGTGACGGGCCTTAGGTGACTGCCTTTCAGGAGTCACAGGATCTTTCTGCCTGTGACTGCCCGGGGTTGCTTGAGGCAGAGCCCAGGCCCACGCTGACGCCTCTGGAGGTTCCAGAAGGCATTACATACGCGAGACCACCCCTTCTCCATTAACTCAAGTCAAGGATTTGTTAAGATGTGTCAAGCTTTTCGTCTTTCATAGAGCATCAGAATGCTAATTCAAATGTTCCAAAATTGACTTATAAAGAAAATACTGAGTCATGGGAAGTATAATGCAAGTCATTTATTACCGTGGTTTGATCCAAAAATACAAGTTGAGATTAAAATGCCACTGTTGGGTGAGCATGGAATAATTGATTTTTATGGAGTGGACTCAATTTTTTTTTTTTTTAAATCCTCATCCAAGGATATTTTTCCATTGATTTTCAGATAGAACAGAAGGGAGGGAGGGAGGGGGGAGAGAGAGCGAGAGCGAGAGCGAGAGAGAGAGAGAGAGAGAGAGAGAGAAATATCGATGTGAGAGAGACACATCGACTGGCTGCCTCCCATACAACCCTGACCAGGGCTGGGCATCGAACCACAATCAAGGTACATGCCCTTGACCAGAATCCAACCCGCAACTCTTTGGCCCTGGGCCAACATTCCAACTGCTGAGCCAAACCGGCCAGGGGCAAATTTTTTTTTTTAAGCATATTTGTAAAATATATTTAACCTAAATAAACTAATAAGTTGAAATAGCTCTTAAAGTGGCCCATAGGAAATGTTTGTCAAAATAGAATAATAGTTGCATAACCTTCTTATTTTATATTATTTATATTATGGTGGATGAGATTACTAGAATTGCATCATGTTAATGCAGCCCTCTACCTTGTATTGATTTTTGAAATTGCAGTTCTTTGCCCAGAATTTCCTGAAGGGCTCCCCTCTCCTCCTCCCCAAACACAAATTACATAGTCTAATGGGACCCAAAGAGGCTCTCTCAGCTGTGTGCTCCCTCTGTGTGCATGACAAGGTGACAGTCTTAATAGGACAAAAATCTCCAGGCAGAAAAAAATTCAGATTCAAATCTGCCCTGGACTTTGTGTCATAATAAAACTTTATTTTAAAAAACCCTGGCTATCATCACTTGCTGTATATAGAATATTTTGTACCCTCTTTATTAATCTTGCAAAGATGTTTTCCTTCTGAGGGTTAGAGCATACCTTTATTCTGCAGCCAGACTTAAGTCCTTTCAGAGGGAGCACCACTGTTAGTTGCTATTCTTGGAGGCTGTAATTTTAAGGACCTGAAGCCAAGGATGATCTCTTAAACGGCCTGTAATCTTGCCAGCCTTTCTAAAAGGAGTCTGTGGTCATCTTTGAAGAGCTGACTTTCTGGATGCGCTGTCAGTGACATGATAGAAGGCAGTTTTCCATTGCACACTCAGACATGTAACCCTGTGCATGCTCTCAGTTCCTAACCCAAGCTTAGGAAAAATTTTAGCCAACAAAACATTAGCCTGTGCTTCTTTCAAATATGTCAAGCAGTTCTAGAGACATCTTCTTGGAGACAGATTCTTTGAGTTTAATGTATAGATTATGAAACCTCGAGTGCAAATGAAAAGTTAAAATGAAAGCATTGGAAACACGGAAAAAGAGGGACATCTTTCAGAGGGGTGGCCTGGACCCGTCCAAGGATGACCCAAACTCTTCCCTGGATTCAGCTTATTGTCACCAAAAATACAGCTTTTGTTAGTTCACACAACTCAGTATTATAAAATGTAATCTTCTTTAAAATATTTGAACCACACTTTTATGCAACGCCACACTTTTACCATTGTTTCTGTGAATTGCAAATGAATTATTTGGGATAAATAAAGACACCATTTGCTTAATTTAATTATGAATAGTGCTATAGCAACCTACATTAGACACTCCATAAAGGCTTTTTCCCCTTTCTATTATAGTGTTTGTAAGACCTCAGAGAAATTTGGAGTCTATAGACCCACAGTTTACAATTCGGAGGAAAATGGAACAAATGAGAGAAGAAAAAGAGCTGGTGGAACAACTCCGTGAGGTACCCGAGAAACATTGTATAATCGAGTATGCATTTCAGAATTGAAGCAGCCGTCCATAAAGTTGACTGTTGAACAACATGGTGGTTAGGGGCACCAGCACCCCATCCCTAACTGCCCCCAAAGCAGCTGAAAATCTGAGTATAACTTTTGATTCTCTAAAAACGTAATTACTAGTAGCTTGTTGACCTGAAGCATTACTGATAACATCAATAGTTGATTAACATATATTTAGTATGCTATATGTATTATGTACAGTATTCTTAAAACAAAGTAAACTAGAGAAAAGAAAGTCTTATTAAAATCACAGGGAAAGAAAATACATTTACAGTACTGGATATATTTATCAGAAAAAATCCTCATGTAAGTGGACCCACACAGTTCAAACCTGTGTTGGTCAGGGGTCAACTGTATTTTAAAAAATAGACTTTGAAGCACTGCAAACACACCTAGTTTCAGACCTAGCCAGGTTGTCTACTGACTGTCTGATACTGGGCAAGTCACTTAACATCCCTGTGACAGTTTTATCATGTATTAAAAAATAGTTCCAGTCTACCTTAGTGTGGTTTTGTGAGTAATATATGAGATAATGTAAGTAGAACTACTTAATGCATATAGATATATATAACTAGTATTATTTCAGTTCAGGTACACTTTAAAACAAAGCACTGTTATTTATTTACTTAATAGTAATAGTCCATTAATTTAAAGATGTTTTTAGTTATCCTCACTTTGTGTCCCAAATTGATAAGAACGTTTTAATCAGTCATTCAATGGACAAACTATTTGAGTCCCTACCAATCATGAAGTCCTGTGCTGGGTAACACTGAAGACTTTCAGCTCTGTGTTGACAGGGACCATGGCTAAGGTTTGACCCCTTTTTACCTAAGAAACCAGAGGTGGGGAAAAAAGAACAGTTTGTGTTCTCTTTTAAATCTGCCTCTAGCTGTCTTAGGTTGGGCAGTAAATTTTGTCCTATAATTCAATGTGAAACTTCCAGTATTTTTTACAAATGGGATCAAAATGACTATAATGTTATTAGAGCCATGTATCAAATTCTCATTTAATAATTTTTCCCAAATTACAAGAGAAAAACTATGACTCTGTGGCCTCCAATTTGAGTATATAGTTATTATTTTATAAGGTGTAAGAGGATACTATCAATCATGTACTATTCATATTTGTATATATTATTAATTTCTCAGGGAAAATGCCACATACATTTTTTTAGAAATCCTCTGTCATCACCTTTTTTCTTTTTTAAATAAAATTTTAATTGAAAATATAATAGGAAATAATCTTAATGGATAAAATAGAGAAATGCAGAAGGAAAATAAATCTTTTTTTTATTCTCACCCGAGGACATTTTTGCATTTATCTTCAGATAGAGCGGAAGGGAGAGAGGGGGAAAAAGAGAGAGAGAAACATCGATGTGAGAGAGACACATCGACTGGTCGCCACCCCCACGACCCCAGTGGAGCCAGGGACAAACTACAACCAAGGTATGTGCCCTTAGCGGAAACCGAACCCAGGACTCTTCAGTCTGCAGGCCGATGCTCTAACTGCTGAGCCAGGCCAGCCCGGGCAATAAGTCATTTTTGATAACACTGCTCGGAGGCACACACTGTAACATTCTGGTTTCTGCCGGCATTCTTTCCACATGTAAGCTGCTTTCGAATTGTGGGCACCTCGTGCAGTCAGTTGCCACCTAGCAATGGGGTACATTTTGAGGAATGTGTCGTCAGGCAGTTTCATCGTTTTGCAAACATCGTGGAGCACACTTAACCCAGGCCAGATGTACAGCCTACTGCATACCCCGGCTGTAAGGTCTACCCCTGCCACGTATGTGGTCTTTTGTTGACCAGAACATCCTGATTCCCCTACAGAGCATCGAGATGAGACTCAAGGTCAGCCTGCACGAGGACCTGGGGGCTGCACTCATGGACGGTGTCGTCCTCTGCCATCTGGTCAATCACATCCGCCCTCGCTCTGTCGCAAGCATTCACGTCCCCTCGCCAGCCGTTGTAAGTAACACCACGTACAGGGAAACTTAATTTTTACATAAAACTCTTTTGGGACAGTGTTGCTGGCCAAAGATGCCAATGGGGTCACCAGGACCCTGTTCAGATCTCTTGGGCACCAGACCACTAGAAGAACAGAAAGGAATAGGTTCGAAAGAAGCAACATTTTCACTGTAAAAAGGGAGAATATTTAAAACAAATGTGTAAATGACAGAAGAGGAATTTATTTCAAATATAGAGCAAATCACATTTAAGAGATTACTGCCCCTAAGACTTGAGGGACATAAAGATTCATTTCTCTCCAAGGGTTAAACATTGAGAAGTCTTTGGGAAAGCTGGTTTTTGGTTGGTAGCTTCTCTTTTGAATGAGATCTCTTCCCTTTATTAATCATCAGGTATTTTAGGATAGCTCTGAAAAAATGTGGGTTCTATGTAAAAGATCACGAGTGACCTGTCAAGCCTGAGGTTGATGAGCCAGTCGTTAATTCAACAATTCCTTGATCATTCACTGGGCTCGAAGGAACATGGGAGGTAGTGAGGGAATCACAGGAAATGTGAAGATGAGTGAGACCCCATTAATACCCTAAAAATTCTTGTCCCCCTTGTAGGAGAGATAAAGCCAGCATGTGGATCCTTTTCCAATGTATCACGGAACATGTTACCATCGAGAAGAAAACTATAGTCGCTCTTATGGTCAGTCAGATGAAGGCAGGGAAACAGGGGTCAGCTTGTCTTTGAACCTGTGTCAGGTTCAGACAAGTAGAGAAAAAAGAAGAGCATCTATTTGCACTATTTTCTGTTCTTTAGATGAGGCAGGAAAAAAAGTAGGGGCTAAGAATGTAGGATTTGAATTCAAATTCCAGATCTCCTCATGAACTGTATATCTTTGAGAGAGTTATCTAACCTCTCTTAAATTCAATTTGCTTTTCCCAATCATGGAAATATTATTGTGAGGATGAAATAAGGTACTTACATATGATGTACACATAAATGTAAGCCATTCTTATCATTACTGTTTTAGAGCAGATTTTCAAAATTCAGAGTCCTTAATCTGAAGGCACAGCGGATGCCTGTCTGCACCCTCCCCCGCCTCCGGGGGTGCCTCACATTGACATTATTTGACCTAATTTCTAATGCTCTCATTTCAACTGCCAGTTTCTCTTTTTTACACTATTGAACGTATTTTCCCTTTGAAAAGTTTAATCACTTTTTGCTTCAGAAAACATTGAGGGGAAAAAAGATCATTTTGTCTTCTCTTTGAAATCTGCCTCTAACTGCCTTAGTTAGGTTGGGCAGTAAATTTTGTCCTATAACTCAATATGAAACTTTCTAGTATTTTTTACAGATGGGATCCAAACTGTTATGTTGTCTGAGCTGTACGCCAAATTCTCATTTAATAATTTTCTCCAAATTATAAGAAAGAAAATATGACTTCTCAGCTTCCAATTTAAATGTACAATTATCATTTTATAAGGTATTAGAGGACACTATGAATCATATATCTGTATACATTTGTACTTTTTATTCTTCAGGCAAACAGTGCTACATTTTGTTAGAAATCCTTTGGTTCTTACCTTTTTTCTTCTTTAAATAAATGTTTAAATGAAAATATAATGAGAAATAATGCCTAATTGTCGAACAAGGGAAAAATAGAGAAATGCCAAAGACAGTTACTATTAAGATTTTGGCTACTATACTATTAGCATTCTTTCTGTAAGTTGTTTTTGAATCATGAGAATCTGACATATATTAAATAATAGTTAAAAAATTTTTTTTACTTTGATTTGAGAGAGAGAGGAAGGGAGAAAGAGACAGAAACATTGATGAGAGAGAACATTGATTGGCCACCTCCTGCATGCCCCCCACTGGGATTTGTCCCACAAATTGGGCATGTGCCCTGACAGGGAATCGAACTGGCGACCTCTTGGTGCAGGGTCGATGCTCAACCACTGAGCCACACCGGCCAGACTAGACTCTTCCTTTTTTTCTTTATAACACCTCTCACAACTAAGACCTGTACTATACTATACTGTAATTTTCTTGAACTTGTTAATATTTCAAACTACACCAGAAGTAAGGGGCCATGAGGATTGTGTCTCTCAGTTTCTCAGGAGCATCCTGAGCCCCAGATGAAGAATCTGAGACATAGCAAATGCTGGCTCAGTCACGACGGGAGCACCTTTTCCACCACCTGGGTTGCCAGCTGTAAGCCTGCTGGTTTTTCCTTCATGAAATCGAAACCGAGTGCATATAGTGGTGAACAGAATCACTGTTATTGTCAGTATGCTAAGAGTCTCTTAAAATGTATTTTCTAAGTCTTTGAAAATTTGGTAAGCTAACCATTGGCATCCCAGTTGGTGGAATTTGTGGAACATTTTACTGTTTGAACTATTGTATTTGTAGCAAGTACTTTTCTAACTGAAACTAGGCAACAGTCAGAATAGGCCCTCCCTCGCTTCCAAAGGTGGGACATTTTCTTTATGTAGCTTGAAACACACTTTCATTGACTTTACTGGGCTGACCCAAGTATTGTGAATGGTGTTGAGCATCTTTGGAGTTTCAGAACAGACTCCCCTAAACCTGAAGTAGGAAAAGGAAGATAATGGGCCTGGAGGGGCAGACTGCCTCTTGGTGCCCTGGACCTATTCATCCCGTGTCTCCATGTCACGTAACCCACTTCTGTTTCTTCTCTCTGCATGAGGCTGAATGTGGTTGTCTTGTCCTAAGATGTACGAGGGGTGGGCGGGCAAAACCACCCAACAGCTTCTTGGCCCATCTTGGCAGGCCTCGAGTCAGGGGCATCAGTTCCTCCCTAGCCCGTGTGGAGAATATTTGTTTAGCCTCCAAATTAAATTGTTCCACCTGGAAGCAGGCTTTCTTTCTTTCTTTCAGGGAGTAGGATAGAGGAAGTCCCTTTTATTAGTAAATACCATGCAAAATTAGTTTTATGAAGATTCGTGTGAGCCCCTAAAGGATGGAATAAGTTACTTCACTCTCACTTGCTATTAGCAGGGTAGGGTCCGTCTTTATAAAACATTGCTTCTATGACTAGATTGTTGGAGTCATTCATGCTTCTTGCCTCCCTTTTTAAAAGAATTAATAGTGGAATATTAAAGTTTAGCAGTAAAACTTTTAAAACTTGGCATGTAAAAATTAAAATGTGTGAATTAAGATATGTCTTATCCATGCCACACCTCAGAGGTCACCTGGCCAAGGTCAGTTCTGTTGTGAGAGACTCATAGGTAAGCCCTTAACATCCACCTTGTTCAGTGCTATTTATCTTGATGTTGCTTCCTTCTAATTAAGTTCATTGCTTTACCTGGGAGGAGATTAATTGGCCTGTTGAATTTAACCCTTCGTATATAAATATGTTTTCTGATAGGAAAAGGTAGTGCTCATGGTGTGTTTTTAGATGAACTAAAGTAGGTTACACAAGAGTTTGGTCCTATAAAAATTGTGTATATTTATGTGTGTGAATACACATATACCAACACCTACATATATACGCACAAAGTCTGCATATACACATACATGTATATACACTTATAGATATATACATATATACAGAAATTCTGCATATAAGACACATATTCATATATACATATATGTATGTCTTTGTATTCCCAAACATGTACACATACAGTGTCTGGGAAAATAGAATCCAAAATAGTAATACTTCTTATTTCTAGGTGGACATTTCTGGATAGATAAGTTTTTATTGTCTTCTATTTGCTTATGTATTTTTTTCTTCTGTAAATATGTATTACTTGTGCCATTTAGAACATTTGAAATTGAATATATTATTAAAATTAATATTTCTTTTAATAATTCATTACTTCTGCATATTTGCATTTATAGCCCAAGCTTAGCATGGCCAAATGCAGAAGAAATGTGGAAAACTTTTTGGAAGCATGCCGAAAATTAGGAGTACCAGAGGTAACCTGAAACTTGTCCAAATAACCATGTTTTAGTAAAGATTTTATTCAATGTATGTGTTTGAACTCACTGAATAGTTATACAACTTTGTACATCCTTTTTAATCTGTCTTTCTAAAGGAATATTAAATAAGTCATATACAGTTTTAGTTAAAATGCTCTATTGCAATGAAATAAAAATGTCTTAAAACAGTATGATCAATTCTGAGGAAAGGGAGAATATAATTTCTTTTTTTTTTTTTTTTTTATCCTCACCCGAGGACATTTTTCCATTTTTTGCACAGATAGAGTGGGAGGGAGAGAGAGAGAGAGAGAAACATTGACATGAAAGGGACACATCGAGTGGCTGCCACCTGCACGACCAACCAGGGCCGGGGACAAACTGCAACCGAGGTACATGCCCTTAGCGGGAACCGAACCCGGGTCTCTCCGGACCCCAGGCTGATGCTCTAACCGCTGAGCCAAACCGGCCAGGGCGAGAATATAATTTCTTTAAGGCTTTGAAATAACTGTGTAATTCCAAACTTGAAAAAAAAATTTAGCTTGATTGTGTACTCCAAGAGCAGAACCGCTGAGGCGTCAGGGAGCCTCAGTCTGGTCGTGCAGTGTAGAACTGGAGCTGATGTTTTCCTTTTCCAGGGCTCTTAAGCAAAGCAGAACTGTAGTTGACAACTAATTTGTTGATTTTCATTTTGGGTATGTGGATCAAAATAATCAACATTAAAAATAATTATTATTAATCATTACCATTGATAATAATAATGTTTGTATGTTGCTTTATAGTTTGTTAACTGTTTGCATTTATGTTTTCCCCTTTTGTCTGCTGTACACTCATTGGGCAAATCCCTGTAGCCTGCCCAACTCTAGTTTGTTACTTTTCTTTCTCACAAACTAAGCCCAAGCCTCAGCCACTTTGGGGCTTTTTAAAGATTTTGCTATTAGTAACATAAGGTCGTTTCCTAGGGAGACAAAAGCCAATCCACTCAGAATTTGGGGGTAAATTGAGAAGTTTATCATCATTGTGATAAACAGAAATGGACATAAATTCTATGTCTTGTAATTTTTTCTGTCTTTTCTGATGTTTCAGGGATAAAGTAATTATAGACTTTATCATGAGTATGTTTTTGAGTATGTGAAGAAATCACATTTTACACTTTACTCAGTGGTAGGGTTAGTTATTGAAGTTGAGAAAGGCTTTCTGGCCTTCTTCCCCCTCTCCCTGCCTCCCTCCGCCCCGCACCCTCCCTCCTTCCCTTCCCTTCCTTTTCTCCCCGTAATTTTTAGTTTGGTGAGGGGTTTGTGGTGAGTTTCTAATCTTATTTGAGGAAAAATAATTATTAAAGCATATTTAAGTCAGAACTATTGTCTCAATAAAAAGATTACAAATTTATTTTTTAAGAGTGTAATCTTTATATATGGAGTAAATGTCTTTGCAGTCAATTCAGATGTCTTTCAACAAAGTTAATGTATGTGTTTGTATAGTATGTGAACATTTTAATATTACATGTACATTCTTGACTTCAAATAATTGTGAAAATTCTTATACAGATACCTTTTAAAATAATTTCATTCTGTAATGGGCTAATAAGATTTCCCATGTGTGAGTCAAAACTATCAGATGGTAAATTATTCATGTCTGTGCTAGAAAGCACTAATGAGTTATGAGCTGAACCCCTGTGATATTTTTAAACTCATCATTTTTATTTTTTGGCTTATGGTGATACAAAATGACTAGAAATGCCCTTTGTCATCTATTGTGAGTCAAGATTGGTAATTATGATTTCCTTTTAAGGTGAGCAAATGGAAATGACAAAAATGTAGAGAAATTTTTATTATAATTTCTGAATTATATCTCTAGCACTAATAGGCAACTCATAATTTCTGAGCAGAATTACAGGAGGAAATGGCTTTTTCCAATATCTCATATTTTTAAAAAATTTTTTAAATATTCGAGGTGATTTTTAAGTTTGCATCATGTATATGTCTATAGTGCATGTATGTGTGTGTGTGTGTACGTAACTATTCATCCTGATGGATAATTCAGTTTTGCATTTTACTGGTGACTAGAGTTACATTAAGTTCATTGCTACTAGAAAAAAAGTCTGTTAGTTTTAGTTAGCAGTTGAACTTTTTAACAAGCTATGTTAAATGAAGGAAGGAATATTCTAATGGAAAACCAGAAATCACCAGTTGGAAGGCAATTGACAAATCTTCCTGTACACTCAAAAGAGCATGGTTTCATCTCTCACAGAGTAGATGAGGAAGAAATTATTGGAAATAAGGAGATATTTTCATTAGGAATATGATACTGAGTTGGGGGAGGGGTGGAATTACACCCTTCCACTTAGATAGTTACATTTCCCTCACTAGTTAAGAGAGTTGATGTTTTGAGTATGTATGTGGCACATTATTATCAATGATTTACACTAAAAATATAGTCATATCACAAGTCTAGTTGAAGAAATTCTCCACTTGCAATCAGACATTTTAAAAGACTGGTACAATAGAACAAAATTGAATGCCCAGAGTAAACCCACATGTATATGGGCAAATAATTTTCAACAGAGAAGCCAAAAAACATACAATGGAGAAAAGTCTCTTCAATAAATGGTGCTGGGAAAATTGAAAAGCTACATGCAAGAGGTTAAAAATAGATTACTGTTTGTCCCCGTATACAAAAATTAATTTAAAATGGACCAAAAACCTAAAAATAAGACCTGAAACAATAAATTACATAGAACAGAACAGGTACAAAACTTATGGAGCTTGCTCTTAGAGAAGATTTTATGAATTTGACCTTAAAGGCAAGGGAAGTAAAGGCAAAAATAAATGAATGGTACAATATCTAACTAAAAAGCTTCTGCACAGCAAAAGAAACCAAACCAAAAGGAACCAACTGGATAGGAGGCAAACAACAGCTCAACAAAGGGTTAACATCCAAAATGTATAGAACTCATACAACTCAACACCAAACAAACAAACAAGCCAATTAAAAAATGGGCAGAGGACCTGAACAGACACTTCTCCAAAGAAGACATACAAATGACCAACCAGATATATGAAAAGATGTTCTACCTCAGTGACTATTAGGAAATACAAATCGAAACTACAATGAGACATCATTTCACACCTGTTAGAATGGCTGTTATCAACAAGACGAGTAATAAGTGTTAGAGAGGGTGTGGAGAAAAAAGAACCTTCATTCACTGCTGGTGGGAATGTAAACTGGTTACAGCCACTATGGAAAACAGTATGGCAGTTTTTCAAAAATTTAAGAATAGAGTTGATATATGACCTACCAATCCTTCTTCTGAGTATCTACCCCAAAACCTTAAAAAACATGTATTTGCAAAGATATTTGCACCCCTATGTTCATTACAGCATTATTCAGGTGGCCAGGACATGGAAACAACCAATATGTCCTTCAATAAATGATTCAATAAAGAAGATGTGGTACATACAGTGCAATACTACTCAGCCATAAGAAAAGACAAAATGCTGCCATTTGCAACAACACGGACGGATCTTGAGAATGTCATGTTAAGTGAAATAAGTCAGAGAAAAGTGAAGAACCATATGATTTCCCTTCTATGTGGGATATAAAACTGAAAGCAACAGATAAACAAGAAACACAAACAAAAACTCATAGACAACAAAATGGTGGTTATGAGAGGGAAGGGGGTGGGGGAGATAGTAAAATGTAAGGGGGTCAAATAATGACCACGGGAGAAGATTTGACTGGGTGGTGGGCACACGCTGCACTATACACATAATGTATTATAGAATTATACTCTTGAAACCTATACAATTTTTTAACCACTGTCACCCCAATAAATTAAATTTAAAAAAATCAGTAAATAAATAAAAAGACCTAAAAGCAGATGACCTGAACATTACGTTTTCTTATTTGCATCAGACAACATTTGGGTAACAAAACATCCATCGACTTTCCAGCACCAAACAGACGGCTCCTCCTCATCGGCGAGCTTTTCCTGCTTTCTTCCCACCCATAGCTCACACTCCTCTGTCACAGAGATCTTGAATTCCGTATTTTTTTAAGCTAAATATCTAATTGACAATAATAAATCATCCTGTAGAGACTAAAAGGTCACAGCTGTGCTCAGAGCCCTTTGTAACAGAATCACAGCTTGAAACTACAAGCCAGTCAGGGGTGGCAGCTTTTATGATCGTTCATTTGGGTGGAATGTGGCTGCTGAGGAGATTTAGTGAACTTATTACATATAAAGTAATTCAATGCAATAGAAGCAAATTTAAAATTGTTCTAGTTTGTATTTTCTTTAGAAGTCCCATAGACACATTTCCAGATGCCTGCTGTGGGGTTGGTCAGGGTTCATGAAACGTTTCATTGTGTTAGTGCAGTGGTTCTGATATGACTTACCTATAAGCCTGGTGTCTTCGAATTGGCTGCATTCAGAATTGCACAGCCTAGTTGTTTGCAGGTTAGAGTATGCAGAAAGGTAAGGCAACCTTTCTGTAGGTTGGCAACCATAGACCTCTGCTAATTGTGACATTGGAATAAGGCTGTGTCTGTACCCAGGAGTCTTAGTCCGGGGCCAGGAACTTTAGACAGGACCGAAACAGGACACCACAGATAAAAATAAGATGATGTCACAGAGAGGAGTTGGTGATGGGGTCCTGGAGAAATTCTGTTAGAGTGACAACAGGCCTATTTGCCATCTTCTGTGAGGGATTCTGGAATGAGGAAGAGGTTTGTTAATGAGAATGTCAAGGAAAGATCGTTGAAAATGGACCAGAAATCATACATGCTGGAAAGTTTATTTTTCAGTGTAGGAGACAACATTTTGTCAAACAGTTATTTCAGCAGGTTACTTCCCTTCCTGCTGCCCATTCCTTGGGTTTGGGGTTTTGGTTTTCTGTTGGGCTAGTTCCCCAAATAAAGGGACACAAATGGAATGAGCCTAACCTGGAAGAAGAATGATTCAATGCAGGAGATGTGGGGTGAATTAGCCCCATCTGTGC